CATTGAACGGGGGGGGGGGGAATTGCGGGGCCCCCTCGCGGAGAGCAGGGGTCCCTGGGGAGGGGCGCCACCGCCTGGGAACAGGTGTCCCCGAGGTGCGTACAGCAGTCACCAGCATGTTGTCGTTGCAGCAGGGATTCCTGACGTCTGCACACAGCCACATTGTGGGCCTAGCTCCCGTTTGCACTACGGCCTCCTTTCACCGGGTAGAGCAGCGTACAGGGCCCTCGGCGCAAATGGGGGTCAGTCTGTCACTTGGGGAGAGTCGAGCCCCGGATGGACGCCAGTCCAGCTGATGACTGAGCTGGGCAGTGAGGGGGCATGCCCACAGCCCGGCATATGGCAGCCCCTAGCCCTTCTAGTGGGTGCTGTGGCCACAGCACGGGGAGAATTGGGAGGAGAGAGACCAGGACCGGGGGCCTGAGAGGGATAATCCAGCTATGGCTGCATCAGCGTCCTGATCTGATCTGAGGGCCAAAGGGAGGAGCAAGGGCTCCAGACCCGTGCAGAACAGCCAGGCGGGCGTTTGCCATCCCACCAGCCAGATGTTTTCGGCGCCAGGTTCCGTGACTCGGGGAAATGATTTGTCCTGTTGGTTTTGCAGGTGAGGAATTTGCCTTGTTGGGTGATGCCAATGTAGTGATTGTTTGGAAATTTTAATTGAAATTGAAACATTAATACACACTTTAAAAGCATATAAAGTATAAGATAAAATATGTGTATCTGATAAAGTATAATACATTTATTATAATACGTTATTACTGGCTTTGGAAAGTATCTACCAAGATGGGATGGATCTAACTAGTGAGGCTGGTGGATTACTTTTGCTATTATATTCAGAGAAGACTATTGCCATTGTCCCTCTTGTAAGTCTACTGTTGAAACCGCTTGGGGCATTAAACAATGTCATCCAGGCATCTGCTACAACAGTACATTTGGATCAATCCGAGAGCTATCCATTGAAAAAGTTCTGGAAGAAGCAAAGATTTCAGTCCAGAAGTTGACTAATGAAGGCATTTATATTGAACCCTTAAGTGAAGAGGACAAGAAGTGTTTGTTAAGATAACTGAAAAGTACACAGACTTGATTCTTAAAAATCTACAACAGCGACTTCTAGATTCTACTCAACCGGTAGCTTTTACAGATCCCTGTCCTATAAAACACCAACAGCTGAGTGGAGTGAGGCACTACCAGCAATGGGGCTGCCATGTGCTCAGGACAGAATAGAGAATTTGAACACAGAGTGGAATATCATACAACGAATGAATGAAGATTTGACTTCAACTTTTTTTTATCATCACTATGGTTCGACCCGATCTTTGTGCTCTGTTTCCTGGGATGAAAGAAGTAGGAATTCATCTCTTGCTACTCCCAGTCACAACAGCTACAGTTGAGCGTTCTTTTTCATCATTGAATAGAATTTTGTGTTCTGAAAGAAGTCACCTTCTGCCTGATCATGTGAATGAACTAATGAGCATATCAGTTGAAGGAATGGAAGTACCAGACACATGAGAAGCCACAAAAGATGAACGCATTGCATTCAAGAAGTTCATTAACAGAATTGTCCAAAATTATAATAAGAAACCAAGAAGGATGTAGATGTCGTGCTTCATAGAAGTCTTCAGTAGCCAACTTAAATTTGTGTGATGATTTTAAAACATAAGTTAAATCTAATAAAATGGTCATGAAACATTTTTTCAGTTTTTACTACGGTGCCATACAGCCCACCTTAACCCTCATGGTCTCAACCCTCATTGGCCCTGACCCCCACCCTGTAAATTCGAACACGCCCCCTAATTTCAATTCCTGGGGGAAACAGTGTGGGGCGGAGAGGAGCACCCACCGCCAAAAACAAAAGTCAGTGGCTGTGGTTGGGATTCTAGGTCTCATTAGCATATTCAAAGTGCCAGTATCCATATGCTAATATGCACCTAGAGGGCATTTCTGCTCAGCCCTGTGCCCCCAGGAAAGTGCATGGGTGCCTCTGAACATCCCACTCCATGCCGGGTGCTCAGGTAATTGAGGTTAAACCAAACACCGGCTTAGAGAGCATGCTGGGTGCCTAAATGCCAATGAAGCAGGCACTGGACTGGGACTCAGGAGATGTAGGTTCTAGTCCCTGCACTAGCACTGTCCTGCTGTGTAACCTTGGGCAAACTGCTTCCCTGATCTGTGCCTCAGTTTCCCCCTGCTCTTTGTCTGTCTTGTCTATTTAGCTTGTGAGCTCAGGGAGGCAGGCTCTGTCTTTCCCTCTGTGTTCATGCAGAACCCTGCAAAACAGGGCCCTGATCTCAGCTGGGATCTCTAGGTTTTACCGTAATAGTGATGATCACTTAAACCCCAAAACGGAGGTCCCAGCGACCGTTTGCACCTGTCTGAGCTTTTGAAAATGTTGACGCTACTAGTTTATTTTTTAACTCTCCAAATCACGTTCTGTAGGGTCTGGGAAGGGAAGGAAAAACATCTGATTTTAGTGTTCTGTGGCTGGAGACTGAAAATCAGCCTGCAGCCGTAGTGAACATCCCTATTTTGATACAGTAAAAGTGAAAGCAGTGGTCCTGCCATTTCCTCATTCACAGTCCCATGTGACGAGCCTGGCAGGGTAAACTGAACTCCTTCTTCTCGGCATGCAGTCAGAGCAGGAGGGGTGTCAGGGCTCACTTGGGAGCCAACCTTGGGAGGATAATTTGGGGGAATTCTTGCTGCCTGCTGATCAGTTCAAGATTCCTGCCTAGAAATCTCCACTGGGTGAACTCCCGTCAGGTATGTTTGGCTTTTTCTTCCTCCCTTGTACTTTAAATCTCCTCTTTGTCGTGTTTGGAACAATGTGTTTGAGGAAGTAAAACCAAGTATTTTGCTTGTAGAGAGTTTGCATCTGTGGACACCCATGTGTATCAGTCTTGTCTTTCTATCCCCATATAAACCTCTCTCTCTTCCAATAACGCCCCCTATCTATCTATTCAACACCCTCTCTCTCACTCGCCATACACCCTCTCTATCTATTCTCATACACCCTCTCTGTCTGTCTCTCTCTGTCTTTCTAGCCCCATACACTCCTCCATCTTCCTATCTAGGCTGGAGTGTTCAGAGGAGCCTAGGGGAGTTAGGTGATAGTCAATGGGATTTGGGTGCCTAACGCCCTTGAAAATGGCTTGGGCTCCTTTGAAAACCCAAGTCCTCTTCACCTAAATCTCTCTGGGCCAGATCCTCAGCTGGTGTAAATCTGCTTTGCTCCAGTGACCACAATGGAGTGACACCAGTTTACACCAGCTAGGGA